CTGATTTCCCCAAAATGCTTAGATCTACTTGTATAAAATTTAATATGGAATACTGTGAGATGACAATATTTTAAAAGTTATTTTGTAATGGTTTTTAAAGTTATTTTCCAAATAGAGATTTATAATTTTTGGAAATATATTTGTAGTAATTTTGAATCTGTAATAAATAGTTACTGATAGAAAAATACTGAGGGGAACATAACCCTTGAAAAATTTATCTGAAATTTTATTCATTATCACTACACTTTGGATTTTTAAAAGAATTTTTATTTTAAAGAGAATAAAACAAAGCAAATCATAACAGAACAATGCAAGCATAATGTCTCTTGTTTTCTTCAAAACAGTTGCCCACACCTTCACATACAATAAATGCAGACAAAACGAAATAGTATAAAACCAATCAAAACAAAATAATGAAAGCATTGTGGGACTTCAAAATAAGACAATAGGAAATTAATAATGGCTTCCATAATGTCTCTCTTTCAAAATAGCTGTCCATATCTTCACAAATATTAAAATCAAATAATAGAAAACAGACTAAAATCAGTCAAAACAAAAGAATGAAAGCATCGTAGGACTTCAAAACAAGATAACAAGAAATGAACAATGGTTGTTATAATGTCTCATTTTCCTCAAAATAGCTGTCCATACTATCACACATAATAAAATCAAACAAAGCAAAATAGAATAAAACTAATTAAACAAAAGAATGAAAGCATTATAAGATTTCAAAACAAGATAACAGGAAACCAACCATGATTACCACTATATATCCCATTATGTTCAAAATAGCTGCCCATTCCATCAAAGTAAAATCTAACAAAACATGACAGAACAAAACCAAACTTAACAAAATTGTGAAAACAATGCAAGAGTTCAAGACAAGACAGCAGGAAATTAACATTGTTTACCACTTTTCCCTCCTAGACATTTCTCCTCTATCACTGTCATAATATCTATTGGGCTTTTTGGATCCCACTAACTCCTTCTGTTTCTTATGCTGGGGTTTACCTGTGTAAGTTCAAATCATTTCTCCCATGAACGTGATCTCCAGTTGCATCCATTTATTTACAAGAGCTTCGAGACCATTCTATATTATAGCTCAGTGGCTTTCCCTTGTGTGAAAATACCATATCTTTCTTATCTACTCCACAGTTGATGGGCAAGTTATCCTTTGTTTCGTACCCTGTAGCAAGATGCAATTGTATTCTCTCCTTTGATTTGCAGTCTATGGATTTCCTTTCTGGTTAAATGGGTTTCTTGTATACAGTATATTGCTGGATCTTGTTTCATGACCCACTCTCCCTGTGCTCCTTTTTATCGCTGAATTGATACCATCTACTTTAATGTTACAACCATCATATACTGTTTTGTCCCTGCCATGCTATTTACCTGCTGCTGGCCCTCTACTTTTCACATACATTCAGTTGCCTGTCTTGTTTTGCAGTCCTCCTCTGCTGCTGTTCCTGGGACCATGGTCATCTTATGTCTCTCCCAGAATTTATTATCTTGTAAAGAAGAGGGTAGCTCAGGATGAGTGACAGTGAGGATGGCAGGAGTTACGAAACTTGAGCTCCTTGGCCAGGTGCAAGACTGGCATCTCTGTAAGTTGCAGAGATCATTCTCATAACTGAAATAAATCAGACTCACATGTAAACATTGTGTTGTCTCCTTAGTATGAGAAACTGAAAGAGGAAATAAGATCCTGAATATACAATAGATGTTGCAAAATGGGAAGCAACTGTTTACAAGGAAAGAGTAAGATGTGGGGAAAGGAGAAGAAAAGAGAAAAAGAAATACATGTGTGTGTGTGTGTGTGTGTGTGTGTGTGTGTGTGTTAAGACAGTTATACTACTAATTTCTTTTAGTTCTTTGAAAAGAAAAATTTGTGCTAATATTTTTTGGACAATTAAATGCCTATATCTTGTAGTCTGAGTAATTATAGATAAAATATGCAATGTATTAACCATTGTTCCTTTCCTATTATTTTGTTTTGAAACTTTGTTTTATATTTGTCTCTTTAAAATAAAAATTTTAAAATGTATCTAATAACTAATTTTTATTATTAGTATTTTGGTACTGGGAACCAGACTCAGGACCTCGCACTTGCCAGGCAGGTGCTGTACCACTGAGCTACATCCTCAGTCCCAAATAACTTATTAAAAAAGTGAATTACATTCATTTGGGATTGGTGCAATAAATTTACCACGTTGGTGGCACTGATAGGCACAATTCCTCTTTACTTGTCGGCTTATGACACTAAAGAAGCAAGAAGCTCTTTCCCAAGTGCAGTGACTACTTGGGCACAGGATCATAGTTATAGACTCTCCTCCTTGCAGGGGGAGAAAATGTAAGGAAAAAAAATGATCCACCAAATCCCAGCAGTCAGGCAAGACTGATCAGATAAGAAGGCCGTGGACTGACTCACTGAGACGAAGGGCTCTGCCCTCACTGACACCCTTCCTTGCTGATTAGAGGCGTCACCTGTTGCAATTCCATTGTTCTGTAGCTGGTCTCTTGCACTCACGATGGTTCTGAAGGCCTCCTTTATACTCCACAGGGTGTTTCTCAACAAACCTTTCAAAGACAATTCACATGTTATTCTTGGCACCTGCTAACATCATGCAGGGAATCAGTCCTGGGACTTGTTATCGGATCCCTCCTATCCTGCTGAACCTTCACAAATGGTACCTTGTTTTTCAAACTGTTTACATGTACCTTTATGACAAGGTACGTGTGCTATACGTGTGAATTTTCTCTCCCACACTTCACATCTTCTTCTGCTCTTTACTAAAAGAATTGATATGAATCACATTTTTATTAAGAGGCTGTTCAAGCAAACCAGACTTTCTAACCTGCTCCTGCAAATCCTCCCAGCCACTTCTTAATGCCCTCCTCCCAGACACTACCTACACTGAAGTGCTGCCCACAACAACCTCTTTTGAGTTACATGCATCCAAATTGTCTTTTTCCCATAGCTGCAACATTGCTCCAGATGTACTGGTTCACAGCAGCAGGAGGCATAGGTTCACATTTCTATAGACTGTAAGTGTAACAGAATTCCAACTGACTAAAATCATGCATTGACAGGGCTGCTTTTCTTCCTGAAAGTCCCAGAGAGAAGTCTGCTTCCTTGTCGCTCTTTGGTTTCTGTCTCCCTCCTCTGCTGCCCAGGCCGAGGGTCTGGTGCTTCTCACCCTGGAGCCCTCCAATCCCTGCAGGCAGGATTTGCTCTCCCTTCTCCATTGCTTTTCTGCTGCTAAGTGCGCTCAGGGTCAGGCTGGCCTGTCTGGACAATTTAGGGTGACCCCCCATCTCTGGATTGTTAGTATAATCATATCGGTCAAGTTTCTTTTGCCAATTACAATCATACATTCACAAACAAGCATCTAAACATAGACATCTTTAAGTAAAGAATCTATTATTCCTATTATTCCTCAGAGATGAACGTTTTGTGTAAAGACTTGAAAGTATTTTCTAAAATCAAAGCTAAGGTTGATGTAAAGAAACAGAAAAATTGGTGGTTTTGATATAAGAGAAATATAACTCCAAATTGCTGGATGTCAGATATGCTGAGTTTATGTTTCTGGAAATTGAAGAATGAATTGCAAGGAATAATGGAAGTTAAGAGTAGGGAAGATTTATTGAAAGATAGCTCCTGAGAGACAAGAGGGGTCCTGACAGTGTTGCTACTAAAGTCCTTTGTCAGGGGAAATTTATACAGTGAAGTCACAATGTGGGTCTAACTACAACCAACCTTCACAGTTAAAGACTGGTCACCTTGCTAATATTGATCCAGTAGGTAAGCAGGTCAAATAGCAGGGGTACACAGAAAGAACAAAGGCATTTTTGGGTAGGGATGGGTCCTGATGCTCTGGTCATGCACTTGGGTGACTGATGTCTATCTGGACTTTACTGGACCAGGTGATAACAACCACAATCTCAAGTTATTTCTTACTCTCAGGAAGGCATGTATGCCTGGCCACTGCATCTTCACCTTGAGCCCCTCAAAGGGGCTGAGAGTCCCTCGTTCTGACTCCCAGCCTAGCCCTGTCCCCTAGCCTAGCCCTGTCTGACTCCCTGTCAATTTGTATCTAATTTAACTGCCTGCAATAGTTCGAACTGTGTAAAGGTTAAACTGTTCTCTTCCAGTAGAATTTGGTTTAGACTACATTGCCCAGCCCCTAATGGTTGATGTCTGTGAGCAGGAGCGGCTGTGTGCCCTCCCAGATACCTGACTTAAGGACAAGTCCCTACTCTGGAGCCTCTTTTTCCCTTCCCACATGCTACAGGATGCACTCGCTGGTCAGCAGTCACCGTGGGTACAAGGGTGTTGCATTAAGGTAGAAGTGTTCAAATGACGTCTATTTCCAGCCTTCAGGAACTATATGGGCTCCATCTCAACTACTCAACTCTTCCATTGTTTCAATAAGCAAGTTCCATAAAATATACAAAAATAGGCAGAGCTGTGGCATTCTAATATAAATTTATTGACCAAAGCAAGTGCCAGGCCAGATTAGATGAAGTTTTGCTGATCCAAATCTCTAGGGGTAGTGCTGGGGATCTAACTCAGTGGCACAAGCACCTGCCAGGCATATGCAAGGTTGTGAGTGCTATCACTGGTATGGAAAAAAAAAAAAACTCTAGGGGTTATAGCAGCAGTGTGAAGGAAGAAATGTGGTTTCTCACGTAAGGTCTCCCTAATCTGGATTACTAAATTAGGAATAATTTTATCACAAATGTATAAACATCTATTTTCTTTAAAACACTGAATTTTATGGAACTTGGTCTTACATCCGTGCATAAATATGTAAACAGGGTGATTAGGGAAAGTGTTGAAGTTTATCTGATAGTCAAAGATCAGGGTTCTGAACTAGGAAATGCTTTTATAACTCACTAAGGAAAAAATTCAAACAATGCAGTCAAAATACAGGCAAGAGGCATTAATAAGGAATTAATTAAAGAGAAAGCAAAGTGCACAAAGTGAGAATCATCACAAGTGAATCAAACTGAGTAAAGATTATGTTTTAATTTTGAGTCATACAATGATGAAATAAAAGGTAAACATGGAGATTTAAGAAGTTCTCATTTATCAAACTGGCAATAGAAGCTAGTTTTATAGAATTGCAGTGAGAGCATACACGAACGATCTCTTATACCACCAACAGAGCTGCAGGGTTTGAAAATATTTTTAAGAGACATTTGAAAACATACATTAAAATATTGAGAAATTTGCATGCATTTTGGCCAAGCAGTTGTGTTTCTTGGGGGTCCATTTGGAGATAACTGTAAATATACCCCATATTAGACAAGGTGCACATAACTCATGAGTTTTTAAAATGTAAGAAGTCATACAGGTGTAGTCACATTCAATAAATAACAAATGACATTGAAACGAAGAAAACATTTTGAAGACTGTTAACATGGAACATGTTTTATACTAGAGGAACAAGAAGATTGTAAAGCACATGCTCCAGAACCATACGCTTATTAAAAGAGCACATACCTTTGTGCCAAGGTGGTAGCGATGATGGCTCTGACTAGGTGGCAGCAAGGCAAGTGATTTTCATTGTACCTCATCGACTTTTCAAAATATCTAATATTTCTTTGTAACCCAACTTATTTCAACATTTGAAATTAAAATATAGTTCATATTCATAAAAATTATAAATGATTTTAAAAAGGAAAAAATTTGTAATTATTTAATTAGTTTGTCCAACATGTCTTTATCATGTGTCTGTGATATGCCAAGCACTGTTTTGGGCACTGGAGATAAAGTGAAAAATAAGACCAAAGTCTTTGCCTGGGGATTTAATTTCTAGGTAGGGGATGCAGATATTACACAACTAAATAAATGAATTTTCAAGATAATTACAGATAGTAATGATTGCTCTAGAGAAAAGGATTCATGCTCAGCTGAAGCTGGGGTGCTGCCCTGAAGGAGGAGAGGAGGCAGACTGTGCACAGAGCCGGAGTGGGGGGTGTGCTGAGAGGGGGCATTCTGGCAAGACCCAAAAGCAGTTCGGACTTTGGCAGTGGAAGGAGCAATGGGCAGACCTGCAGTGTGAAGGATGCTAGGAAGGGTTGAGGGGCAGAGAAAATAAAGTGCACTAGCCTTGGTAAACAGTTTAGATTTTTCCTAAAATGCAACTGTTGATGGCTTTGAAGCAGGGAAATGATATTGAATTTTGGTTTTGAGAAAGATTTTTCTGCCTATTGTTGGTTACAGATAGGTCTAAATATATGAAAAGAAAAAACTATATTGTGGGTAAATGGTCAAGGATTGGAAGAATACAAATCAGAGACTCAAAACAATTGTCAACTATGGAACACTAGTAATCAAATCAAATTCAAATGATTTTTTGTATCTTAAGCAAATTTGAAGAAATTTAATACAAATCAAGGAACTACAGGAGAGGCAAGCACAAAATTTGTACAGTACATCTATGGTTTTTTGAAAACTGACTTAATGGTATTTGTAGAAGTGCTACAAAATGTCCCAATAATTCCTTTACAAGGACATGAGCACTCTTGGCAAAGATGCATGTACAGAGTTTTTAGTGTTAGAATAAGAGGTTAATCTCTTTTTCCTTAATAGAGAGATTATTTGCAATTTCGTTCTCTTCTCTGTACCATTCTATATTTCCCAGAAACTCTGTAAATAGCTGAATGTAGTGTTACAGTCCTGTAATCCTGGCACTCTGGGAGATTAAGGCAAGAATTGCGAAAGCTTGAGCCCAATCTTGATAATTTAATGACTTAGTGAGATCCTGTCTCAAAAAAACAAAACAAAACAAACAAACAAAAAAACTCCCCCCAAAACAACTTCTTTTTCTTCTTCTTCTTTTTTTTTTTTTTTTTTTTTTTTTTTTTAACAGAGGGCTGAGGATTTGACTCAGTATAAAGACCCTTGGTTTCAATCCTTGGACTGGAAAAAAAAAGCTGTAAGTAATGAATATTATTTTATAATACTTTAGGTTTTATTTTTATAATCAGAAAAATAGTTACAAGAAAGTAAAAAGCCCAGAAAAAATTCATTATAACCCACAGATTATATAATATAAATTAAAAAATGAGGTTAAACAAAAAGTTTTGAATTGTATATAGTTGAGTTCCAAATTCATTTTCTATTTCTCAAGCTCATGAATTTAGGAAATCCAACTACTTTTAAATTGAAAGTACTCCTCTGTAAAATGAGATATATACTATATATACCAAGGAGTGCTTTCGTAAGGGTGAGGGAACATATTAAAATTTACTTAGCATGATACTGAAATTATTATACTCACTATAATCAAATGATCAACAATCTAGCCCTTTCTGAGTAACAATAACTCTGTGTTTTATTTTACATACTTGTTCCCATCATTTATACTTGTAGCCTACCAAGTGAGTTACTTATTCTTACCTTAGAGATTAGAACACTTGTCCCAAGTCCTAAACTTTCAGTTTAGGAAAAATTCTATATGAATCTGGAACCCACACTCTTATGAGATTATGGTTGATCAAGATATTTTAGTTTTCTTTATCTTCTACCTTTGTCATTCCAGTGCATGAAAAAGCTTTTCTTCGTATGCAACAGGTGTGCTAAAATCTTTGGGCAGAAGCCTATTAGTTCAGCATTAGATCTTCCCCTTGAGCAACTCACACCAGCTTTTGCCTGTGGCAATTTTTCAGCATCTATGTACTGACTGTGACCAAGTGTGCCCAGGAGTTCAAGATGAGTGAGGTTTAATTCCATATGCTCTTCAAAATTCACTAGCTGCAAACGTAAGCTGCAACGGCTACAAGTTAGGCTGTCACATAAGAAATATACAAGGCCTACGACCAATCACATCTGGTGCAAGAACACAGAGTGATTTTGTAAATCAGGTGGCATTTGAGTGGACCCTGCACAAGGGATGGATAGGCAAATGAGGTGAGTTTGAAATAGAGAAAAGTGATCAAAAAGAAAAGCCCATCTGGGCTGACCATCTCAACTTGACTGGAGTTTAGCAAACAGCTCTGTCAGTGCAGCTAGTAGGCAGGGCTAGAGCCTTGGTGTGTCTGCACATGTTTTAACAGGCAAGAGCTTCCACGAGAATCTCAGTCAGGGAAAAAATGAGCTGTCGACTTCAAGAAGACAGCTCTGCCAACTATATAAAGAGGTGCAGGACGCAAGGCTCAACACCAGGATAAGATTCAGTGAGAGATTCGGCCTCTGTTGGGAAAGAAAATCAGGGAGCAAGGCTAAGCAAATGAGAGGCGAGGGCCAAACACTCATCCGGGTGAGAATGCACACAAGCAAGTGAGACCTGCTTCCACGTGTAAGTACACCAACTGCAAACAGTACTGTATTTCAGGAAATCATGGTGAGGAAACTGTCAAATTATGCATTTAGATTTCAAAAAGTTGCCCTTCCTGATTGCAGGGTAACACTTGTATATTCAAATATGACATAATTCAATTCAAGTAAATTTTATCCCAAAGGTCTTTTGAAAGCTTTGAGCTTGAACCACATAGATGGCTAAAGAAAATATGATAGTTTCATGTCCAGAGATTTATTCTTATTTGACAAACAAATTATTCTGTTACAATTTCCAATTTTCCTGGGGCCTATCTCACCCCAGATGAAAGTAGCATTTATAGTGATTATCATTACACAATTGTAACATAGCAGAATCCAGAGTTGACAGTATTCTTTTTAACCACAGTACTAATTTATTAAGCCTTGAGTGCTTAATTAAATGCTGTACCCAGTAGGAAACTTGGGATGATTGTTCATACTCTTTCTGTACACTATGGGAGTTCCATGTAACCATAAATGTCTCTGATAAGTACATTAAAGAAGTATCATTCTTATGCCAGCTGCTGCTTGATTAAAGGATTTTCTTCTTTATATTGGTGCTTCTGCTAGAAGGATGTTGACTGGAGGTTTTTAACAGATGTGGGCTCAGCTAGATCACAAACTTTAATTAAAATATTAAAAACCTAACAGTAACTTTTATGGAACAATATATATGCTTCCCAATTTAATCCTTTTTAAAATTGGAAAAAAAAACTTTTAAATCTGATGAAATATGTGTCCCTTTATTTGATACTGGGGTTCTAACATAGGTGAAGTCACTTGTGACATAAATAACCAAAAACCTGCAATATCTTGCTTTTAGATTGAGGCAAATGAACTGATAAAGATAAGAAAAGTGATAGCAAAGAATTCCATGTGATATAGTACATTTCTTAGGAAATTAAGTACAGACAGAAACACAAACAAATCAGTAAAGTCTAGTCTAAGTTTTCAGATCCAAAGTCAAAGCGAGAATTGACAAAATGGACTTACACGCGAAGTGCTCCCTGCCCATCACCGTTTGGGAAAGATGAGTGTTTGTGTTGCACACAAGGTACATGAACACATACACATGCCTTGCACATAAAAGGTTCAACTGAGAAAGGTCAGGCTTTGAGAAACCTCTTAGAAATAGATATTTTCAGGCACATGTACAAGTCATTATATATTTTATACATCGTAAGACTCATTTTATGAAGAGACCAGTTTTGTTCACTATTTAAATTTTTGCCAAAAAGCTTTCAATAAATGATTTCTGTAGAACATCAGAAATAATTGAAGTACGAAACCACAGAAGGCAGTGGTATTTAAACTCACAGCCCACAGAAGGGATGGGATCATCACACTGTGGCATTTCACATCTCATTCCTACTGGAAGCGTCTCTCAAATTTCCCCTTCTTAACTCTCCTGCTCCGTGTTTTCAACACTTTCCATAGAGGGAACTCTCTGTATGCAGGCTTCACAGCGAAGGCTGCTGGACAAGTTGACTGGATGTGTTTACAGCCATGTTGTTTTTAGCTCTTAGAGCAAAGGCTTCCTTGAGATTTGATCTTTTTTGGCAAATTTGGAGCTGGAAAGTGTCTTGAAAGCCACGGCGAAAATTCTCATTGAAGAAACCATAAACAATGGGGTTGACACTGCTATTAGAGAAAGCCATCCAGTGAGCAAAAGGGTAGATGTAGACATTAATGACCCGCAGCTCACTGGGAGAAAGCTCAGCATAGTCGGAGAGCATCATCAGAGTCCACAGCGGCAGCCAGGACAGCATGAAAAGCAGAGCCACCATCAGGAGCATCTTGACAACCTTCTGCTTCTTCTTAGACACCACGTGCCACTGCTCCTGGCTCCACTTGCTGGTGTGGGGTGCCGTGTTCCTGAAGAGTGAAATCCCAACCCTCCCGTACATGATGACAATGAGGAACAGAGGAGCCACATAGATGGTGGTAAACAGCACAGTAGTGTAGATCTTTCTCATTTCCCGGTTGGGCCAGTCTTCCCGGCACCAGTAGACTGGGCTGGTTTTATTCTGGGAGTGGAGCATCACATGATAATACTTTTCTTCCTGTGTGTGTAACATTGCTGCAGAGGGTGACATGATGGCGATGGCCAGCACCCAGATGATCACAAGGATGACAGATGCTGTCTGGATAGTGAGCTTCGGTTTAAAAGGGTAGACCACACACCGGAATCTGCAAGCAAAGGCACCTATCAGTGAGACACTGGTTCACAACTCCTGAGAAAGATGTGAATCATATTTAAGCAAACAGGTGAGGACCTCCTGCCCAACGTGCCATTAAAGCATGGAAAGTGACTGTTGGTGGTACAGAGGCATGCATTTCCATCTGTGATATATAAGATAGATTTTAACTGAAAATCTGAACAAGTAGAATGTAAAGTGGCATATAGTGAATAAGACCAATTCACACTCTACTTCAGATTTTGCTCCATTGCGTGTGTGGGCTATCACTTTAACACCTCTGTTTCAATGGGAGCAAATAGGTGTTTAAAAGGCAGAACTCGTGCCCATTCTTATAACGGATTATATTAGCATGTGTGTGCAATACAGAATAGTGATGTGTCTTTTGGAGAATTCCTACATCCATATAACATATCTTAGCTGCTTTCTATCCTTGTGCTCTCTCCCACCATCCATTCCCCTATACATCTCCAGGAGTCTGCCTTCTAGTTTCTCATAAACTTAGAAAGTTAAACATCATCTTTTATCTCTCTTTTTTTATTTTGAAGAGAATAAAATCAAATGAGGCAAAACAGGATAGAGTCAATCAAAACAAAAGGATGAATATGGTACAGGACTTAAAAACAAAATACAAGGAGATCAACAATGGCTACCACAATACCTTTTGTTATCTTCAAAGGAATTTCCCATATCATCAGGTATAATAAGATAAAACAAAATAGTACAGAATCAAATCAGTAAAAACAAAACAATGGAAACAAAAGAATATAACAGTAAAACCACAATGGGTACATAAAGCATCTATTGTCTTCAAAGTGGTTGCCTATACAATCAGACATGATACAATCAAACAAAACAAAATAGAACAAAATCAGTCAAAACAAAACAGTGAAAGCAATACAGGACTTTAAATCAAGCTAATACAAAATCAAAAATGGTTCCCTTAATATATATCATCTTTTCTCCTATGAAAAACCTAAAGCATTTATGCAAGATTTTAATACACGTAGTTTGGCCTCAGAGCTCACGATCTCAGCTTCTGCTCAGATGCTTGGTAGGTGGCTCGCTCTGTTGGGCTTCAATAGTCTTCATCAACAAAACATTTCTTCTTGATATTCTTGTCTGCCCCCCAACCTGCAATCCGTGTACTTGACCATGAAACTTGCTTTGACAAATAGGATATTAGCAAGCCTGTTTCACAGGTAAGGCTTGTCTTTTTTTTGGAATGGTACCTTTTAAAATCCAAGTTCTAGGATCCAAAAAAACTAAAATTAGACTTGAGGGAAGACAGATTGATCATTTTGAATGGTCTAGCCACAGCTTTAGTCCCAGGGTAACACTGCAGTATGGTGACTCCAGCTTTAACAAATGGAGCAGAGGAAACACAAAGAGGTGTCCGTTACACCACAGAATCAAAGAGATGATACAGCATCATTTGTGTTAAGCCACCTGTGTGTGTGTGTGGTAACTGCTTTCACAGCTGTAATAGTCTAAGAGTTTCCATTATGTGATCTGATTATAACCTTCCGGACACTCTCTGTCCTCAGGTGAACAAGTTAACTGACATCAGTAGGCAGAACATACATGAATCATCTGACTAAAATTTTGTTATTATTCATACTTATTATGCTAATTATCCTCACATCATTATATAACCCTATCGATCTATATTTATTTAAAGTCATTACCTAATTTTTGATTTTCAGGGTGATTCTGTACAATTAAATATTATAAAAATTACTACTTTCCTGATATGCAGGTAAGGAAATTTAGAGCTTGAAGTGGTTGAGAGCAACTCCAAATGTGACAGATTTTCAGAAAATGACTAATTAGGTTGGGCTTTGACTACTCTTTTGTAATTCTTGTAACTCATTCTTTTGTAATGTATTCCTTCCTAAACTCTAAGATTTTCTCTAACCTTTTGAGCAATGAATTCTCCCTTTCACTCATGTTTAAATTATGAGTAGCTTCACAGAGACAACTGTAGTCTGCTTTTTATGTATCAGTCAATGGTATTTCACATACACAAAGGTGAACAAGATGAAGAGAGGAGAAATGTCCTTGCTGAGAAACAATTAAAATGTCATGTATATAGTTACTAAAATCGTGTTAGAAGTGTTTGGCTTTCATCCAGAGAAAATCAAGGTCCATTGAAGAATTTTACATGGCACCAGGAAGATAATGTTGCAGCATTATTTTTAAAATTTTTTGAATCTTATAGAAAAAAGTAAAACAGAATTTCATAACAAAATAATACGAGAATAGCAATATTTAATACACTGAATACTGTCAGAATCAAAGAAGTTACTCAAAGTACAAGATATGAGCATAATTCTCCAATTAATGCTCGCACAAATCTTTCCTTTCAATGAACTAAGAGACACTAATAATATAGCTAATCAGTATTTTTCTGTCTTTTCCTTCTAATTTCCCTCATCCTAGTTCCTTTTTTAAAAAACAATTTCTTCCCATTTCAAAATACCTATTGTACATTGTAGATCTTATTTACTCTTTCGATTTCTCACAACTGGGATTCAATACAAAGTTTACACACGAGTCTCATTTATTTCACTTATAGTTTTGGTCTCAAGTTGCATCCATTTACCTATAAAAGTCCCTAATGTTTCATTCTTTATGACTGAGTAGTAATCCATTGTATGAAAAGATCACATCTTTTTTATCTATTCCTCAGAAGATGGGAACTTGAGTTGTTTCCAAGATCTAGCTATTACAAATTGCCCTGCTACAAACATGGGTGCACATATATCACTGTGGTTCAATGTTTTTAATTCTTCTGGGAATATATCCAGAAGATACACTGGTCACATGTGACTTATAATCCTTGCTTTTTAAGGACTGCCCATACAGATTTCACAGTGGTTACATCAGTCTGCAGTTCCACCAACAGTGGAGAAGGGTTCTTTCTTCCCCACAGCCCCTCCAGCATTTCTTATTGGTTGATTTCTGGATGATAGCCATTTTTTTATATTGAACATTTTCTCATATATTTATTTGCCATTTTTATTTTTTATCTAACAATTCTGTGTTCATCTCAGATGCCCATTTTTGGATTGAGTCTTTGAATTTGATGAGGGGATCTGAATTTTTTCAATTCTTTATATGTTGTAGAGAGAAATCCTCTATCTAAAAGACCATTGGCTAAAATTTTTTCCACTCTGATGGCTGTCTTTTCACTCTATCGGTAATTTCTTTTGCTGTGCAAAAGCTTTTTAACAAGCTGAAATCCTAACTGTTGATTCTTTGAAGCCTTTTCTCCTGCAATTTGGATTTTATGACTCTCTGGCTACACCTGTGTCTTTAAGATTCCTACCTACTTTCTGTTTCAGTACAATTAGTGTTTCTATTCTAATATTTACATCTTTGATTCATTTTAACTTTAGTTTAGTGTATGTTGCCAGATATGGATCTAGTTTTAGTCTTTGTCATGTAGAGAGCCAGTTTTTTCCACTGTCATTAACAAGGCTATCTTTCCTCCAGTGAACACATGTGGTCCCTTCATCAAAGATAAAGTTGTTGAGTGTATTTCTAGTAGTGTCTGTAACTTGTTACCTGTTACACTGATCCTCAGGTCTGTTTCTTTGCCAGTACCATGCTAATATTATCATGGTAGCTTTGTAGTATAATTTCAAGTCATGGATTGTGACACTTCCTGCCTTGCCTTTGTTGCCCAGGATTGCCTTTCCTATTCCAGTCTCTTTTGCTTCCAAATGAATTTTAGGAGTGTTTGTCTAGTTCTGTGAGATATGCTAATGGTGTTTTGATCAGGATTGCATTAAATCTGTATAAAAGTTTTGGGAGTATGGCCATTTTCACTAGGTTGGCTCTACCTATCCATGATCAAGAGATAACTTTTCATTTTCTAATATTCTCTTCATTATCCTTTTTCAGAGTAACTGATACATGGATCTTTTACTTCCTTTGTTAGATTGATCCCTAAGTATTTCATTTTGGAGATGCCATTGTGAAGGGTGTGTGGTTTTCTTGATTTCTCTCTCAGTGAGTTAATTGTTTGTATACAGGAATGCTATTGGTTTTTGAGTACTGACTTTATATCCAACTGTAGTACTGAAGTTGGCTATTAAATCATAAAATATTTTGGGTTTTCTAAGTACAATATCATGTCATCTGCAAATAATAATTTAATTTCTTCCTTTACTATCATTATTATTTATAATTCTCTTGTCTAAATGCTCTGGATAATGTTTCCAGCATAATATTGAAGAGGAGTAGTGATAGTTGACATCCTTGTCTTGTACTTGATTTTAGAGTAAAACTTTGAGTTCTTGTCCATTTAGTGTGATGTTAGCTGTTGGTTTTTCATTGATGGCTTTTATCAGATTGAAGTAAAGACAATCTAGTCTAATTTCTTGTAGGGATTTTTATCATGGACGACTGCTGACTTTATCAAAAGCTTTTTCTGCACCTGTTAAGATGACCATGTGATTTTTTTCTCTTTGATTCTGTTAATATGGTGTATTAAATCTACTGATTTGTATATGTTGAACTATCCTTGCATTCCTGGAATGAATCCTACTTGGTCATGATATATATTCTTCTGATGACTTGTTGCATTCTATATGCTAGTTTTTTTATTGAGGATTTGTGCATCTTTGTTCACTATGGAGATTGGCCTGTAGTTCTGTTTCCTGGTTGGGCTTTTGTCTAGTTTTGGTATCAGGGTAATATTTCACTCCAGCAATGAGTTAGAGAGAATTGCTTCCTTTTAAATTTCATTAAAGAGTTTGAGGAGTATTGGCATTAAATGTTAAATTTGTTGTATAAGTCAACTTTCTGTTGACTTCTGTCAGGCCCTGGATCTTCTTTATTGGTAAATTTTTAATTACATTTAAAATTTTATTAACTGATATTTGGTTATTCCGAATTTTTATATCTTCTTGACTTGGTCATGGCTAACTGAAGTTCTGTATGCCTCGCTTACTTACTTATCTATACAACAGATTCTGTTCCCATGCTTGGGCAATTTTGTACAATTACTTCTGTTAATAGTCTTTTTATGTCATTTGTATTAATTCCTGTTATTTTCATTGATACCTACCAGTTTCATGTTATTTTTCTTTGCATTGCCTTGCAGTTGATGAATTGTTGTTTCCTGATCTTTTGTTATTTTTAACATCTGTTTTTTCGTGATTCCAAGCCATGGCTGAATCCTTCTGATTTTCTCTGTGTTTCCTGGCTGCCATCAGGCCAGCAGCTTTTGTTCGCCCTTCCCTTCCACACTGACACTTGTGTGTTGCAGTCACACCTAAATGAGGAGCTATTAAGCCAATCTTCAAGTAGTGAGAGTCAGGCACTTTTTCTCAGCAAAGGAAAACATGACTAGTACAGAAAACTGATAGGAGAGTGTGCTCATTTCTCTGGCTGCACCTGACGTGTGGTTTTGAAACTTTTACAATTTGTCTTCTGCAGGACTTTAGAACACTTTAGATATATGGACTAGAGAAGCTCTAGAATGCTATAAGCATAGCCCAGTAGATATTTCTGGTAGGAGACATAAATGTTGACAACAATGCAGACAGTGAAGGCCAGGTTCAGAAGGTTTCAGTTGGCAAAGAGGACTCCGTTGACAATTGCACTAGAGGGCACATGTGCTATGCTGGGGCAGGAAATTCATCTATATTTTGCCAGTGTCCTGAGTCTGTGTGGGAGACAGATTAAAGGCAGTGATTGATCTGATGGAAGAAATTTCAAGGCCGCCCAATATTCAGGCTATGGAATATGTACTGTTGAATATCTTTTTAGTAAGATAATGAGAATTAAAAACAAAAAGTAGACCTAAAAGATGTGAAAAGTTTCAGTTTCATCAGAAATGAATACCTACAAAATTGGGGCCAAAATAAGTGTGGTTTCCAAAATCAGCATTAAAAAGAAGCCAAGGACTTTACCACAAGGCATTAGGAAAAAGCTTGAATGCATGTCAGAAATTGGCCAGATTCCACCCACAGCAGGTTCAAAGGTGCAAAAGAATAAGCTCCTTTGAAATTCCTTGCATAAAGAAGACAGCCCCAGGGCACCCTGCTCACACAGGGCCACCCAGGCAAGTGCTTCTGAGAGTTCAGCTTCTAGGCAATCAGAAGCTACTGCAATTATGAACTCAGGATGCCAGGCTACTGCTTGAACTGGTGACAGATCGTGGCGTTAGTCATGTTGGTTGTTTTTCAGGCATGCAGAAGCATAAATTTTTGATTCATGGAAGCTTCTATCCAAATTTCAAAGAAATACCTGGAAGGCCAGGCACTGTATCTCTTTTAGAGTGAAGCATGAAATTGTGATAGTGAAGCCAAAGGAACAGCAGGAGATTGGAGATGCCAGGAGTTCAGAATGTCTTCTGCAAAACTGCAGGAAACTTGTAGGGCTGCGAGGCCCCTGAGTTCATGTCTCACTGCAACCTGACCCAAGTGGTGAACACCCACTGCAGACTTCAATGTTTGCACTGCTGGGCTGATTTTTGGTCTTGCTTTGATTATACTTCTATCCTTCCCTTTTAGAATAGAAAGGTTTACTCTGTGCCTTTCTGTGTTGGAAGTACTTAATGCTACACCCTAGCAAAAAGAGCTTCCTAATGTTTATATGACAAAAATATCTGTAACACGGCGTACTGTTCTGTATGTGTTTTTCTTTGCCCTCTCTGGGTGACCTAATTGATAGGTTAATCAATGCTCTCCTCTGTAAAGAATTGTAAAACCTATCCTAATTGATATGTCCTCTTCAAATAACAGATGTGGTGCTAAAATAAGCTAACAAAGGATTGTTAATTACTGCTAGGTTTCTCTGTTCTCTGCTAAGGAAAACAAAGGTCTTCCTCGTTAGCAGATTTCCTGATTCATGCCCATAACCCCTTACTTTGTAAATTGTGATATGTACTTAAAGACCACAAGTATAGAGGAGCAACACACAGCTTTTGCAATCTCCAACTGCACTGTGTCACTGGGCCCAGGATAAAATAAATCAGCACTGCTTTTTTAAAATAGATTTTTGCCTCATTTTTTGAACTTGAGTTTGGGGGCTCATTTGTGGATTACAAGATTTGGAGGCTCACTTGGGATTACTGGGGGACACCTCCAAATTATTTTTTCACCGATCGATCAGCTAAACATCTGTAAGTATTTGGGGTTTTCTGCCTGTTTGTAATCTGAGTGTGCATATTTGTAGCTGCAGATAAAATGAGACAACTTCTGCTGGGGGCCTTTTTCCCCCTTATGTATTTTAGGGCTTTTGGGGTCCATTCATAACTTTGGGCCTGTGTGAGTTTTTTTTTTTTTTTTTTTTTTTTTTTTTTTTTTTTTTGCCCCTTTGTAATTGGATGTGCGCAGTGACTGCAGACGAGCTAGGGCTCCTTCTGCATCAGACTCCGGGGACTATTGCCCGCTTGTAATGTGGGGGCTTACGCCCATGTGTAGGGCTTAGGCCCGTGTGTGTGGCCTAGGCCTGTGTGGGGGACCTATGTCTGTGTGGGGTGTTGGGGCCTGTTTGTGTTCCTTTAGCTTGTCAAACTGGGGACAGAAAAATCTTCGTTTGTGTCTTTAATGTTGGTCTTGTCTTTTGTGGCACCTTGTTTAATGTTCTAGTCCTCAACTGATTACTTGCAACCTTGGCATGCCTTTTAAAAAGTATCTTTCTTTCTGGCTAAAATGTGAATATATGTGTACATATATATGTATATTTATGGTTTTTAAAAATCATATCAACTTTACCAAGTAAAAACCAAGTCATATAAACATAAGGAAGCTCTTTTTGCTAGGGTACAGTACTTAATGTTTAAAATTTTACAGGTAGTCAGAGCTAGCAGTTCGCCCTGAGTAGCAGGAGGCTTTGGACTTAACTTTTCAATACTGCTAACCCTTAGAGAAGGACTAAATAATTTTATAGCATTAAATGAATATGAATCTTTTAGGGCCAGAAGTGGGATGTTATGGTTTCATGTGTCCTCCACAGTCTCAATGTATGTTTGGAAGGTGAAAGTTCAGTAGTTCATGTGGTATCAGGAAAAGGGACCTGGATGGAAGGGTGGCTCATAAGGGACATCACCTGGACAGGCATATTCTTGTCCCCACCTCCTTCCATTTTGTTCTCTCTTCCTGGATGCCACATGGCAAGCAGCTATCTTCTTCCACGCACTCCCAAGATACCATTTCCGCTTTGGAGCTAACCCACGTGGAAACTGCCAAATCACAAAACTAAATCTTTTCTCTTTTAAATTCTAGGTATCAGGTTTTTTTTTTTTTTTTGTACTGGGGCTCAAACTCACAGTCTTGCAACTTGCCAGGCAGGTGCTTATGCCACTGAGCTAAATCCCTAGGTCTGGTCTCAGTAATGGGACAGCTAATATAGTAGTGTAAAAATAGAAACATATAAATTTGATAATTAAATAGAATCATAGTAAGATTAACAATATGTAGCAAATTCAGACATCATTAATCTCTTATTTAATGTAAATCTTATATTTTTGGCATACATTGAATGATATTTAAATTCTATTTTCTTAAAACTATAAATCAAATGAACAAAGAATATGATATACTCTTAGAAATAAGTTAAAATGTCATGTAAATAATTGTGTAAATATTTGAAATGATCACCCTGAAAAAGTCAGGAGTCACCATCCCACCCCTCTGCAGGAAGAGTCATTGCTGTTAAACATGCCTGCTCACTACATGACCTCTCCATTTGCTCCTGATTTAATCAATTTTACTTGAGGAATTAATCCTATTGGTTGATCACAGTTCTGTCCCACCTTATGCCTGCCTTGTGAGTTCCCATTTTTCCTTACTTTGGATCCATCTCACCTCACGATTTTACTCTATAAAAGTCCCTAGAAAAGACAGTCTTTGGCAACCCACTCTGGACCCCTTCTGTCTTTCTCCCAGACAGATGCTTTCTTTCTCCAATAAATATATTCCACTCTTAACCTCCATTGTTCCTAAATTCATTCTTCAGTTTTAGAGAACATGAACTCATACTGGACATGTGGTAGGTTGGGAGTTTTATTCCCATATATCATATCCATTTAGCTGGATTCAGAATATCGTGATAACTCACCTGTCCACTGCTATTCCGACTAAAGTAAAGACTGAAGCTGCAACTGATACTCCCTGGACCAATCCACTGGTCTTGCACATTGTATTTCCAAATGGCCATCCTGAAAGGGAAATGGAGCTGTATTTGAAAAGATCACTGTCATTGCACTGAGAAAAGGAATGGAAATATGTAAATCAAAAATAATGCAACCATGTTCTTAACTGGGGTCATACAATAATTAATGTCTTCAAGTATTTTCACTAATTTCTCCAGAGCCCCTTTTCAGTACTCTAATGATTATGTCAAAATTTACAGTTACAAAAAAAAAAAAAGTTATTAGGGGATGTGGATTTAGTTCAGTGGCATAAGCGCCTGCCTGGCAAGCGCGAGGTCATGAGTTCAATCCTCAGTACCAAAAAAAATTTACAATTACTACAGTCCATGCACTTTAATATGTGTGTTCTACATGTATTTCATACATAATCCCTATGACAAGTTTTTGAAGGATTTAGTATCCTCGCGGTATTTAGAGACAATGTAACAAACAATAAATGAAATGTACTAGCTAGATACTCACACATTAAGAATTTGAACTCAGGCAACAGGTTTTCAGAAGCCATACAATTAACCCTTATGTTACAATTCACCATAAATAAGTGAAACAATCAGGATTGTTGGTTTTCTAATTTGGAAATATGCTTAATGAATTATGAAGACTCTGAAATTATGTACAGAGTACATTTATATGTAATGTCAAAGACAATTTACACAATAGCTACTTCCAAAATGAAAAATGCTTTTCCAAAATTTTGTAATTTTGTAACTTTCCAAAACTACAAAGCCAGTAATGATCCAACTTCAACCTCCAAGCACAGGGAGCTTCCAGGCAGCCATATATGCCACGCTATGAAAAACGAATCACCAAGTAGTTGTTATGCAAAGGAAGCTTCAGTTATAAAAGTAAGGCTGAGGCCACATTACCAACAAAATCAGAGGTAAAACACAGCTTGTCCATGAAACAGGCCTGGTAGTATAGCAAACATAAAAAATAAAAATAGCACAAAGAATTTGGGATATAAGAAATGAAATCAATATAAAATTTAAAGAGAGAGTTGATAAAGTCTTTGAAATTGAACAATAAAGGACAGAAAGTTAAAGAAAAAATATAAATAAGTAGAATTCAGAATCTTCAGTCTGTGCTTAATAAAAGTAGACAAAAGAAAAATGAAAATAACTAACTGCAAGAAAATCCCCCAGGGTGGAAGGGCATCCGCTTTCTGATCGGAATGGCCAGTGTGTGCTCACTGCAATAAATATAGAATGAAAACACTCCCTGCAATGCATATTTCTTAGAATTCAGAAAACCAGAGATAAAAAGTGTATAAACTTTCACAGATAAAAGATACAAATCATGAGTAAAAGGCGCCAGAGTCAAATGTCAACAAATCCTTTAGCCATCACTCCGCAGTTCAAAGCTGTGGCAAAAGAGCAACGTTTCCAAATTTCAAAGGGAGAAATTTGCTTAGACTTAGAATTCCTCATGCACCTAATTGTAATCAAGCATCACGACAGAATAAAGATATTTGCAAACATAGAAGATCTCAAATATGTTTTATTTCAATGTCCATTTCTCAGGAAAGAAGGAACCAAGAACTAGCAGAGCGGGCATCCGGAAGACAAGGCTGGAGCACAGAGATGATGAAAAGGAGCAGTATCATCCACTTTCACAGGCATGTCTCATCGATTCCTGGGTATACCTAAGGTGCTGACATGAAACTAAAACCACGGGGTACTTGGTAAGTAGAGGGTACTTGCATCAATCAAAGCACAATCGATAGAGCCTGCATCAGAGACACCACCAATTCACTCACCATTTTAGAGAAATGTAAGTTTCATTTCACTGAGGTCACAGCAAGCACAAGCATTGTGTTTTTTCAGCCCATTCCCTCAAAGTCCCACCAAAAATGCTATTTAAAAATCTCTGAGCCCCTTAGAGGCACTTTCTCTGTTCTGCTCTCACAGAGAGGTGCCTCTCAGACTTAGTAGCACGTGTGCTGGGACTGTAGAGTTCGTGTCTCTTTCCCACTCACTGATGTCTTCAGTAAAGTCAGGAAACAAGCATTTTTCCAGTGAAATTGTTATCTGAGAACTTCACTGCTTTGGCAAGAATAACAAACATGTAAAATACAAACATATACGCTGGCTATTGTTTTAAATTACAACTACGGTATTGTTACATTGGTAGAAAGAAGGTGAAGTTTACGAACAGATGCTTATATTTACACAGTGGAAGTGAATTATAAGAACAAAATTTAAATGATCTATAGTTTGAAGACAGCACATTGAAGAGAAAGCATTTTACTTAGAAGTATGTAAAAAATTACCCAAAATAAAGACAAAAAGTGTGGAAATCAAAAAGGTAAGACAGGGTAATTACACAAAAAAGGAATTAAAATGTGTTAGGCACCTGTAAAAACTTTCCACAAGGAATGTAAGCAATACGTATTTCAAACATGTACTAACACACACACAAAAAGATTTAAAAATGTTCACGGGTGAGAATATTTAGAGCAGTTCTTAGCAAAGTGACTTACCTGAGGAACAATAACTGTTTATTAATTCTTTCAAACTCTTTTTGTCAAGCACAGTATCTTGAGCATGCTACCTGCTCAGAAAATATTTGTTTAATGATAAACATCATAAAAACTCAGAGTCTGTAGTGCATGACTGATAGAAGAAGTACTCTGGATTCTCTTTAAGTCTTATTCCAGAGAAAGGAAAGAAGCAGAGAAACTACAGAAACAAATTTCCCTTCCTATTCTTTGCCAAGCAGATACTGAAAGCTCTTAAAGGCTAAGAGCTAGGATATGCCTCATGCTGCTCTGATACGTTCGTTGTGGCACGATTCCTTTATTTTTCAGACTGTAACATGAGAGTCTTGATATATGAATGACCTACTCATTCATACATGTAACACATACTCTATGTGTCAAATTCTCTTGGGGTCTGGAAATATGCTGTTCCTGTGCTTTGCAGCAGAGAAAGCCGTGCTACATCAGCACGAGCGTGGCCCAGAAGGACCACCTGGAGGCATCCTACCCTCACAATGAGGAATGACTTACGCTGCACATGTAAACTGCCGCATTTGGAACAGATCATTGCAGCTGCTCTATCTTTCTCAAAAACTGTTAGAAACCTCCCTTACTAACTACAGCAGAGCCTCTATATCTATTTATATTAGACTCAAACTTCTTTGAAGTTATGATTGACTCAGACATTTCCTTTTATTTTATAATCCATAATATACTTAATATTTCTGCTCTGCTACATGTGACTTGTTTTCTATTAAGGAAATTAAAAGGTTTTGATACAAAGTGCTAGATCTCATTCTTTGATGACCTTCACTAAATTCTCTGTAAAAAACAAATTCGAATCACTACCTCTGTAACTTACTTTATTTTTTCTTGGAAAGTACTCTCAAATTATATGACTATTTATTGTCTGTCTCCTCCTTTAGAATATATAGCTCATGAGGATAAGTACCTGGAATAGTTTTTGGAATGCTATGAATATTTATGAATGAACTAAGGATCCTGGCCTGGCTACAATGGTACATGGCAAAACTCCTTCATATCATGTTTGCATTGCACATAATTCAACATACCTGCTATAATGTTGTCCAGCAGTGTTATAGGCATGCAGAATATGCCAACTAGTAAATCACTTATTGCTAGGTTTAGGATGAAGAGGTTTGTGACTGTGTGCATGTGTTTGTTCTTTGCTACAATAAAGCAAACCATGATGTTTCCCACCATGCACAGGAAGAAGATCACAAAGTAGGAAATAAGGAAGACTGCGGCCACTTGAGGCTGGTGAAGATAGTAGTTCACATAGGTAATGTTAGCATCTGAGTCCAGATGATGCTGTGTGCCGTTGGCACTCCACAAGGGATTCGAGTTTTCTAAAGTGCTTGAGTCCCATGCCTTGCTCATGATGGACCTTAAAAAGATATAGAAAGAAAAACAATTAGAAATAACCAGAGCATAGAACTAATAATAAGAACATTTTAAAATATTATTGAATTCTGATGGACCTGTAACAGTCCATCAGTTTTATATGAAAATGAGTCATAAATAAGGTGTTCATAGTATCTGGATTTTAGTTAAGAGCATTTGAAAACACTACTTTGTGTCATACACAACAATTGCTAATGTATTTTATTTTCCATCACAATTGTACTTTAATCTGTCAAAACCAACTTGTCTTCATAGGTCTAATTTACAAACCTGATACTCTGAATAATATGTAGAATCTGCCTTTTCAAAATGTCCATAGAAGTAAGTTCTTGTACTTACCTTACTCTAGGTTGAATCAGTTAATATTCTTCTTAGAAATGACTATACAGAGGCACAGCCACCATGTTAATAATCTCTTAAAATCTGGATTGGCTACTTGTCTCAGTCTCACTTACCATACTTACATTCACACAGAAGGTATTAGCAAATTATTTAGAATCCACATATCTTAATGTGGACATTTAAATCAAATGTTGTATCAGAGGAGCATCCAAGACCACTCCCAGTTTCAAATTCAGTATATAGTCCATTTATATCTGCTATTTATTAAAGTACAGGATATAGAACAAAATCAGCACAGGAAAAATTTACATGGGAAGAAGCAGAGAAACCAAACATAAGCTCTTGGTTTTACAACAGTGATGTAATACCTGGCAAACTTACTTCCTGTAGCAAGGAGCTGTGACAGTAAGTGTGAAGCACTGTCTACCAAGGAAGTTTATTAGATAGATACACAGCACCTTAGGCTTTCAGTGAAAAATTATCATACGTATTAGATGTATCACAATTCCAGACTTCTAGGCAGAAAGTAGATATTCAGTACATAAATCATGTTGTTTGTATAATCAAGATACATTAAAATATTTCCTCTCAGGAAATTCTGCATCAGTATAGAGAACAGTTTCTTTTTAAAATTTTTTTATTTTAAAGAGATCAAGACAAAAGAGGACATAACAAAGCAGATCAGATCAGAACAATGCAAGTAACACAGCATTTTACCACAAGACAACCCATAATTAACAATAACTACCATAGTGTCTCTTTCTTTGAAATAGTTGAGCATAACTTCATATACAATAGTATCAAGCATAACAAAACAGTATAAAACCATTCAAGAGAATGAAAGCATTACAGAGCTTTCAGAACCAAATAACAGAGAACAATCAATGGTTACTATATTATCTCATTTTCCATAGAAAATTTGTTTATATTATCACACATAATAATACCCAATAAGATATAACAGGATAGAACCAAAGGTAACAGAAAAACAAAAGCAAGTAGGACTTCAGAGTAAGATGATACTAAATCAGCTCTGGCTATTCTAATGTCTTTTCTTTAAAATAGCCATTCATACTATCACAGATAATAAAATCAAACAAACTAGGATAAAACCATTAAAACTAATGCAGACATTATAAGGCTTCAGAGCAATGTAATGGGGAATCATGATTACTATGAACTCTTATGTACTCTTACCATTTCTTACATTAGGGAGACTTTGGTATTTATACATGTGAGTTTGATTTATTTCACTTATGAATATGGTCTCAAGCTGTGTCCATTTATTTATAAATATCTCAATGTGATTATTCTTTATAGCTGAGTAGTCCTCCATTGTATAAAAATACCACGACTTTTTAATCCATTCCTCAGTTGATGGACACCTAGGTTGTTTCCAAGGTCTAACTGTTACAAATTGTGCTGCTATAAACATGGGTGCACATAATATCACTGTGATATGATGCTTTCAGTTCTTCTGGGAATGTGCCTAGAAGTGGAATAGCTGGAACAAATGGGACTTCCAATCCCAGCTTTCTGAGAAATCTCCAGAGTGACCTCCACACTGGTTGCACTAGTCTACACTCCCACCAACAGTGCAGGAGAGTTCCTTTTTCCCCACAGCCTCTCCAGCATTTGTTGTTGTTGGTTTTCTTGATCCTGGCCATTCTTTCAGGAGTGAGATGAAATCTCAGTGTGGTTTTAATTTGCATTTCTCTATTGAGTAATGATGATGAACATCTTTTCATGTATTTATTTGCCATTTGTATTTCTTCATCTGAGAATTGTGTATTCATCTCAGATGCCCATTTTTGGACTGGGTCTTTGAATTTTGGGGGTCTGATTTTTAAAAATTCTTTATATGTTTAAGACAGAAGTCCTTTGTGTGAGGGACAGTTTACTAAGATTTTTTCCCAGTTTGTGGGTTTTCTTTTCACTATGCTGGAGATTTCTTTTGACATGGAGAAACTTTTTAATAAGATGTAATCCTAGCTATTGATGCTGGGAAGTATTTTACTATTTAAATTTCCAGACTTCTATCAAGGGTCAAACTTGTAAGAGACCTTTATGAGGATATTAGCTTCAGTCTCTTGTTAACTCTTTTCTGCATGGAGAGCCATCTAATTGGCTACACAGCAGGTTATATGTGTTCATAAATAAAAAGTGAATTGGATAGTGAACTTACACAACTAGGCTCCCATACTGACATTTTGGCAGTTACTTTATGCAAGGTGGATTAGTATAGATAAGCTGAAATGGATCTGTTACTGGTCCTAGTTAGTTGAAGATGGAGACTTTTAGTTATCTCATTCTCCCTTAGCATTTTCTATCTTTCACCAAGCACAGATTTGTATCATTTTTGATGGGTATCTTTGTTCTCTACATATTACAATAAGTTGTAAGCCATGTAGTCATCGCTTTTGATACTTTGACTTTGGATGTTTTTCTATTTGTATTTTAAGGATGGAGAAAAGTAACATGATAGTAAGTTGCTAAAAGCAAGGTAATATAAAGGGACATCTTTCTCTAGTAACTTTTCTTAATTTACCATCTACTCCTTCTAACTTTAAAAAACTCTTCTTTGTTCTACATCTGAAGATAAAAAATGAAAATCAGTGAATATGAGGAATCGGGGATGGAAAAGAGTAAAAGAAAGCAATTTCAGTAGGAGTAGATGCATTCAACTTTACATGGTCAGGTTGGGTGTGTCTTGTAATGCAGAACCTGATATTGAGACAGTCTACAGCTTAATTAAAAGCTTCTCTGTCAGTGTCTCTAAAATCACTCATGCAAAGACTTGAAGATATGTGTATGTAACATACAGAAATACTATACATACAAATGAAACCTGCAGGAAGAAAGTGCATGGAATTAAATTTATTGACATGAAACATCTATATTGAGTGGCTTCAGCAAGGCAACAGAATAGAAAATCTCGGGTGTCAAATGTTTCCTCCTTTCCAGATAAGTTTAACCAGCAGTTACCTAGAAACCTGAACACTTTTTCAAAAACCCCAATGCTTGGCAACTAGCCTAAGGCACCCATGTGATTTACAGAACTGAGTTGTATCTAAACTAGTTTAGGAAGCAAAGTTTCATGCTGGCTATACTGTCCTTCCCCTCCTGCAACTATGCATAATGCCAGAGACAGAGGATTTCTCTGAGCCCCATGTTCAGAAAATTGTACGTCTTTAATGATTGTGCATGAAGCAATTTTATCCCTAGTTATTGCATTAAAAGATAAAACTATTAATAACATCTGTAGCTAAAATAAATTCTCAAGGAATATACTTTACAAAATGATATAAATTCTGAAACCCAAAACCAAAATGTATGTGGGACAGTAGCATTTGGCATTGTTCTATGCAATAAATTTGTCATTGTTGGCTTGATATTGAGTGTTATAGGATGTTCTGCGTAAGCCTTATGATAAAAACCAGCAAAATCTACAGCAGAACAAAAAAAAATAGCATTCTAAACATACCAACACAGAAAATCATCAGTCCAAAAAAATAAGACAGCAGGAAACAGTGCAATATCAAAACAATTAGAAAGCAAGTAACAAAATGACAGTAGTAAGTTCTTACTTATCAATAATTACCTTATAACTGGATTAAATTCTCCAGTGAAAAGTCAGAGCAGCCAAATGAACAAAAATAAAACAGTAAGACCCAAGTATATGCTGCCTGAAAAACAATCATCTTAGTTAACTTCAAGGCCATTCATTTAATCAGTGTGCCCTTTAATAATTTAACTGAAGTACTATTTGGCAGGCACTGTTCTAAGAAGTAGGAATACAATGAAGAAGTAAACCAAGACTTAGCCATCTTATAATACAAATACAGATAATGATGTACCCACTTCTGTTCATAATGGCTTTGATAGTCTAAGTATGCATTGCATCCAATCATGTTATGTTAGCTGCTTGAAATTAACCAAAATAGAAATACACAATGAAAATTGGCAAATTTGACAAATTGTGGATTTTGCCTTTTATATTTCCATTTAACAATCAGATTACTAGATATTCAAAAGTAGGTCAATGATTCAAATCAATGCACACCGTGAAAATAAAAATAAACTTGAAAATGTGAGTTAGCAGGAGGATAAGAAAGAAAAAGAAATTAGGTGAGTATAAGACCAAAAGAAAGGACAGCACTCATAAAAGGAGTGTAGTAAACAAGGCAATGTAAAACAGAGAGACATAACAGAGAATTATAAACCTGTTTTCACAGAAGGCTGAATCTGACTAATGGTCACAAAAAGAAATGAGCCCATTAATTCAATGCCTCTTATATCTCTGAATGTTAAACTGCTCCTTTAATTCCTGTGTCAATACAACATTTTTCATACCAAGTTTCTAATTTTCATATTTAAGTTCACTGACTTTATTACAGTGATAAAATCATGAATAAAAACGAAAGCTTGGAATTAAATAACTTTAAGCATAAACATTTACAAACTAGAATGATGAGCTTGACTCCAGAACCTGGGATGCCATGGATCATTGGGTGCCCTTCCCCAGAACCTAGGACAGCTACAGATCACTGGCTGCCCTTCTTTCTCACCCCCTGGACCTGAGATGGCCACAGATCATCAGCAGCCCATTCTCCCTTGACCCCTGACTGTGGACAGCAGTGG